CCTATTTTTAATACCAATTAGTTCACTCTAGGCCCCAGCAAGCTTCTACATTACATTCTTGAAAAAGTTCTGTTCATACAACACTGACCTTCACTTTAAAACCCCTTGCAYACACACACCTGAAATTTATTGGAGCTTTGGTCTATAACAGAAATGATTCAAACACACTATTTGTTGTGATCAAATCAAACACAGTATTCTTCCTCTCTTTTACTTGCAAACTTTGCTTAAGCTGCTCATTCTCCCCTTTTCTATGATGAAACCGGGATTTTCAAAGATGATTCAGAGATTCATGACTGCACTGACATACTGTTATTATACAAATAGCATGTAATGTGGATAAAAAATTTAATATAACCCTAGAAGGTTTCCTTCAGTGGAACGTGGTTCTTAAGGCAATTTATTATACTTTAAAGCTTTAGCCCTTTTTTATCAGCAGTTCCATACACAAATTTGGGTAATTCTCCTTATTTATTTATATATCTACTAAAATCAGATTACTTCCAGATACAATAGTGTTTTACAGTCATCAAGAGAACTGCATCTTTTATCTGAATTCCTTTAAAATACATCATGCATATGATTACTCATAAGAAACAAAGTGATGCAAGGACATTTTTGCAAAATGCCTACAGCAGTGTAAAACCTTGCCTTTCCTTGCTGGCACTGACTTTTCTACTACCAAAGAACTGTGCAAGTCTACTTTACACCAGACCAAAGCTCATAATGCTGTAATGATATCTTAAAAGTGCAACTGGGTTGGTAAGAACAGTCAGTATTTAAATGGGGTAATACATTGTACATTTGTATACAATTCCTGCTTTGAGTTAATGCTGCAAGATTCTTTGCCCTGCACAGTAACTAACCATAAATKATCTTTCATGCATATGCAAATCTATCCCTCTAAGCATCTTATTAATTATTTCAAAGATACTTGGAGGTCACCACTCATGGAAATTTSTATGCATGAAGCCTCATTAATACAAGACACCACACAGAGAGATGGGATAGATTTTTGTTGCTGTTTAACAAGGGCAGAGAGTATAATCTGTAACATTTACCTTTTTGTTTTAATGACCAATGAAATTGAGTCAGCTCCTATCTGCAAGCCCTTCCTCTGAACTGACAGAGTGGGTTAGAGTCGTGGGGCTGCTGCCACACTGCTCTGRACAGCTAAATCCTATCAATGCTTCAGTTCCTGTGCTCAGAGCTCTGGTCCTCAACATGAACTGTTCTCAGCTGGAATTGTGCTGCCTGGCACTGGGTGAGCAGCTGAACACCAAGGAATTGATGTTGTTCTCCCAAAGATCACTGCAATGACACATTTTGTTTTGGAACAAAGTGAAGCTATGGCACTATTGARGTGATATAGCTCATCAGCTGAGATGACAGCCTTCTTTTGAACACGTATTWCCTCCTGCTTAATTAGACCCCATAACAGAAAGCAAAGCAAAGCAAGGATATAACCACACAAAATACCTGAATGCAATGACAAAATGCATCCTCTGGCACATCTGTGCCAGGAAGCAAGAAATTAAACCWACTTGAGAAGCCCTGATTATCTGAAATCCCTTGATCCTTTCCAGCTCAAGTTATCATACACTTGTGATGATAACACTGATCTCGTCTGTCACAGTGACCCTTTGCTGTAGCAGCTGCTGTTTATTTTTATTCTATTGTGTGTGTGCTGCTTTCACCTCYAGGTTGATCCAATAAAAGATATAAAAAACTTGCTATGTTGGTACATTCCCTTGATAAAAATCAGGAACAGCGAGTCAAATGTTAATGGAAACTGCAGGCTATGTTCATTATRTTATCTCTATTTTTGAAAAACACTAGAATGAACAGAACTAATTGGAAGTGCAAACAATTTAAATGCACTTAATTACAAAATCAAGCCCTCCTGTACAGTTTGAGGGCAATGTGTGCACATATGCCTTGTAGAAATGTGCTAGGTTTTAAGTAAAACTACTCCTAAATGAAAATGATAAAATAACTTTTTAAAAAGTCCAAACCTCAAACTTCAAGAAATCACAAATACTATTTCAGCATTAGCTTGTGGTGTTTAAAAAGACATGTATTCATGCAGACTCTTTTGAGCTATCTGAGCAACCTGGTCACCTAACATAACACAAATCTCATCAGAATAAATGACCTTGTACTGTATTCCTTTTAGAAGAAGGCTCAAAAGAACCTCCATCCTTTCAATAAAGCTCAGACSTAACATTTTTTTTTTACTTTGACTCATGCTCAGTTAGATATACCATGCTTTAAACCCACTTTGCCAGAGCAAGAAAGAAAATCTTTTCTTGGCATGTCCCATGGTGTTCATTCCTGCCAAGGGCAATTCATTTTAGGCTTCACTGAGGTAATTAGAAAAAGCTGTATCAAATAGTGCTTTATCACCCTCACATATAAATACGARCTGCAAATTGCAGTCGCAAAGTGAAGATTGTGAACTGTAGACTGTAAAAATGCCATCTTATGCTATTCAATAGAAGYTACAGAATAAGAAAATCACATTATACTGTCGTGAATGTTTCTTAATTGAACTCATTGATGATGAAAGCTGCTGCATTCACAGATATGAAGGAGGTTAAAACACTTGTATCTGAAAGCAGGAAGGGGTTAGCAAGTCAGGCATGCCTCCACAGGTGTAATGAAACTCAATTTCAGGACTTGCTCAAAGGACAAAAAAAAATCATTAGTTCCTAACTCGAGTATGAGTAAATACTGGAGACAACCAAATTACTTGTATATCAGAAAGTTAGGCTCAGGTAGCAGCAGAAATGAACCAGTGAAGTTACAACAGCCTTGCTTAGATTCTTCATTCTGCAAAGCAGCTTGAAAGAGAATACTTCCAAATACTTTTTTTTTTCTTTTTTAAAATACAAAACTGCTAACATAAGACAACTGATGGAGGCAGCAATCAATGAGAGAGAGAAAATGTATTGCCATTGTATTACTATTTCTACTGCTATTAGAACTACTTTAAGGTACAGTATTTTGAAAACAACTTTTTGATTTGGTAAGTTCTGAAATTTTGAGATTAGCAATATTTTAGTCTTCCCATATTTAGCTATTATAACACTTAGAGTATACCACAGCTGAGGCTAGACTGGCAGCAATAGCTTCTTTTCCATTCCCTCAGCTGAACCCTATCCCACTTGAACAGTGGAAGTACACTGATCCTTCGTGCATCCCCACAGTATCTCTTTCTTGAGCCAAACCCAGGCCTTGCTCACCACTCCAAGACTGAAATCATGATCCTGAGCAWYCCARCACCATCTCCCTGCATATTCTCCTYATCCCATCCCTRCTCTGCTTCCACTGTTCAATTCCCATTATGTTCAACTTCAGCAAACAGAAAAAAGACTGTCTTGCAGCTGCCAGTCAGGGATAAAAACTTCTGAAAACTTCCTAGTCTCCTCTTTGAGAAAAAAGGACTTCTGAACTGAACAACTGGAGTTGAAGATCTGTGGGAAACCCTAATACAAGTTTTGTGCAGCATGACTAGCAATGGTTTTACAGACAGAAGAGGCAGAAGGGTCATTAGTTTGACATATCAGCCTGAACTGGGGCAGCTCTGTGACACAGCSACAGCAGCAAGGAGACCCACAGGACAGCAGAAAGATGAGCTGCCTGCTGCACCACTGGCATAACTGATTAACCTAAGGGGCTAACAGAAAGAAAGGGAAGAAAATCAATAAAAGAGGGGGAAAAAGGAAGGACTCTGCTCAAACAGCTTATTAATTTGCGTGGGAGCAGAAAATGGATTAACTTCTGGAGAAGCGAGGAAAGAGGCTGAGAGCACACATTGACCACAGTACTATGCTAATGTAAAGGTCAAGGAAAGAACACTGGGTATAAAGTTCCTGTTCAGTTTCTCATGACAAGTTTGCCTACACAACATTAAAAACTATTTCGTKCACTATGAGATCAGTGTGCAAATGCAGTAGCAGAGCGACCTGTTTAGGGGGAAGTAAAAYGAGACCTGGAAAGRCAGCAMATAAATCAGAAATTCTAGTGAAATKTGAAGAAACATTGCTTCCTTTCTCTTGAAGCAATTAAAGAGAGATAATTTTAAATATCTTATTTTTCAATGTTACTACTTTCAATATTCCTACTGYACTTTTAATATCTTCAAGGCATACTCTCAGGTTAAACAGATGCCACTCTCCTAAGAATTTTTGTCATTTTTYCTCCCATCTAAAGGGTTTTCAAACTTCTATATCAGCCATCCAGGTAATCAGGCAAACCCATCTTCTATGCASCTGCTAATATGCTGGAAAATTATTCTCATACCACGATACAGCACTTGAGACAAACATATATGCACACATTTTAATTTATCACCAAGAAAAAAGAATTCTATATATAGAATATATTTCTTCATGATTTCTTTCTTGATTCTGCAGTCCACATGCCAGTGTAACAGAATCAATTCTCAAAACGAATCATCCATATTCTATTTAAGTCTTTGTTTAGCTAAGTCAAACTTTCTTTCCTCCTTGGATAAAACACCTAACTACATTTYATTCAGTGAAGTGACACTTAGCAGTACTAACTTCATCAATAGGAAGATTATTTAAAATTCCTATTGCAGTCCCTTTTTTATTAGTACATGAAGACAGACCAAGAAAGTTATTAATTTACTTAATTTGGAAGTGGAAATATGAAGGTCAAGGTGTTTTGGGTTTTTTTTTTTTTTAACCAGAGAACAGTGCTCTCATCTGCTTGCACTTCATGAGTATAAAATATTAATATGAATGAAGTAAACATTTGATTTTAAAAGAAATGCCCTTTGGAATCCAGTTGATTCTGCAGTYCACATGCTTAGCAAAAACCATTTCAACATTCAAATATTTTCTCCAAGAAATTCAACAACTCCCATGAATGCAGTATAATTTCACTGATATACTCACAACTAATAGATGACAAAAAATCTCATTGTGAAATAAAAATTACATGAACAAAAGAAAAAATCATCTGAAACATACCTACACAGGGGAGGGAATAGCCAAGCTCTGGGTCATGGATGAASTGGCGGTCATTCAGCATGGTCACACAGTACAGGTGGAAGCAGTCCAGGCAAATGACATGGCGATGCACACATTGGAACACAAGCACAGGACTCCTGTTATAAACAAAATAGTGGGACTGATAAACAAGGACYGGACTGAACTCCAGAAAAAGCTTGATTTTAGACCTCTAATTTAATAATAATTTTCCATTCATAGTACACAAGGTTATTATATACATAAAATTAGAATTTATCCTGGCATATTGCAGCACTCKTAAAAAGAGATAGTTTCTAACATGAATCAGATGTGAGGAAATGGAAGTAAAGCTTTAACTGAGAGTTGARACTTTACTGAAAACTGAAACCTAAAGCAAGAAATGTCCTTTAGTAACAGAAATCCTTTATTTGAGGTGAGGAAAGATCATGTCTGGTAAAACATCAAACGACAAGTAGGATAAAATCAGAATGTGGCCAGCTAGGAAAGCTAAAGATTTTGTGAAAAGCACCTTGTGCCTTCAGCCTCTCAAGGCAGCCATTTGAACTCTGCACAGAGGTCATTCCCTTAGTAATAATGAGTAAAGTAGTTCAGCTTCTGGTCAAAGGTATGGGATTCAATTTGGGAGCGAGACACCTAAACTTAAATGCTGTGTATAAATACCAACCCATATGGCAAGTGAGAAATTCCTGCTATAGTCAATACACTTGGCAGAGGCTGGAGCTGATCAGCTTCCAGGAATCTGCAGTAGGATGAGCTGAATCASCAGTTTGGCTCCACTGTCTGTGTGGACTATGCCTCCATGAACCCTTAGAGGAGCTCAGACACCCATCTCAAATGCAGAGACCCAGCCAAATACAGCTATCCCACACCTGACAGGACACTGATCATAGAGATACAGAGAGCAAACACTTAGAATAAGTGAGGACAAACAGTTTTACTCCTGAGCTGGCCTACACTCAGAAACTCTCCAGTGATGGACACAGCAAGGAGAGCTAGAGACCCAGTGGTTCCCAAAATCCTGCCCAGGACCAGCACACCAAAGGTGAAAGAAAAATTGAGTAACACAGAAAATATTACACACGTGAAATGTGCCTTCACTGCAGGAACACACTGATTAAACCTAATGAGTATGCTCTAATATAAGTTAACTTCTGCTAACTCCTGATGGACATATCTCAACTGTCAGTTCCAAAGTAAAGTGTATTACACATTATTTCTTATCTTTCAGAGCTATTAYCAACCTCGTGTCTCAAAATTGCAAAAATAAAGAGAGAAATGTTAAGTTGAGGACAGTGAGATTCCCATTCAAATGCTGAATTACTTTATTCCTTTCATCTGCTTGTGGATGAACAGAGGGAGAAATTTAACACAATTTTCAATTTTTGTAGTAAYTAGTATAATTATTTTTTTAAATAAAAGTAGGAATTCTCATGTTTATTGTACTCCAGGTGACAAATATTATAATACAACATCAAATATAGCGAGATTTGTGATAAAATCATTAGASTTAGCAATACTGGTACATCTTCTCTAAAACCTGCTAGATGATGCCTTGAAACAGTAAAACACAAAGCCTTCAATGTACAAATACAACTTCAAAATGTAATGAATAAATTCAAATACTGCATACAAGCATTTAATCTTCCATGAAAATATGTTTTAGTATTGCACATACTATAGAATTCATGGCAATGTGTTAGTATCTCCAGAAATATAATCTCTGTGTTTTAAGGATTTTGTTGAATAAAGCAGCTTAAAACTGAATTAAATAAAACCTCCCCATTACTAATCCTTATTAGTTGCCCACTTGCTGTTCTGAATGTACCAAATAATAATTTTAAAAAGACAGCTGTAAGGCAAAATGAGAAGCTGATCTCTRTGAGTTTAACTCTGGATGGTCCCAAAAACATTATGGAGAAGTAGAGGAGCAATTATGTTGTCCCTACAGTGCAAAAGTCCCTATATAATAAAATTTTTCTATAGATTTAATGGAAATCTCACTTTAAGGGTTCATTGCTCTTTTTAAATTATTCCAGTATCTGCGTATCTTTTCTAGTTTCATGGGAAGATCCCTGGTTCTAAATTCACACCTCTCTGACCTTCACTTCAAATACAAAATATATGTGTGTGGTGAGATGCATAAGAGAAAGCCATGAAAAGTGGAGTATCTTAAAAAAAAGTCAGGCCAGAAATGAAAATAATGTTAAGTAATATTTCCACCTAAACCTGGGTGAAATCAATACTAACAGCACTTCATTATGCAAAAGAACTACTATGATCAGTTTGTGCTGTAAATTATTTTGTGATAATTGATTTTGTTATTTAATGTATCACAACTGCCTAAAATCAAAACTATATTCTCCAGAAGGAGCACAGCCATATGTGTACATTAAACTGCATCTTTATTAATACTTAAAAATACTATCCTTTAACACCATCAGACTCCAAGCAATGTGTGCAAGATAGACATAAATTTGGGTTCTGACTGTGTCAGAAAAAAACAAGCTTAGCTTTCACAGCTCCTTCTATGTCCGCTAATTTTTCAGCCCAGGGTATCTGTATCATAAGGTTTTGAGAAACTCAATTTGTATGCAATTCAGATTTATCCAAATTCATTTGGCACTGGAACAATCACTGCATTCCAATATTTCCAGATTTTGTACCAAAAGAAAGCAATTCTACTTTAAAAGGGGCATACAAGTCTTGTTCCTGAGATCAGTAAAGATGAAGATGTAGCGATTATCTTCGTAATGGCCAGGTGAAGCCAGTGAATTCTCATTTAGGATAACCCCAAGAATTATTGATACAAGCTTTACTTGAACCAAACACAATTTGTTTTAGAAAGGAGTATTATGAAAGTAAAAAAAAAAAAAAAAAAAAAAAAAAAAAAAAAAAAAAAAAAAAAAAAAAAAGCCACAGTGTAACAAGGTCTGTTCCTCAGTATAACACACCAGGCTAGTAATGTAAATCCGATATATATTTTAGAAAGTGTTTCATAGGTTCCATTTACATAATGTGTTTGGCTGAATTAGAGGCTTCATGAGAATAATATATAAAACAAATGTTTCTCACAGCAAGGGATAAATTGGYCCTTTTTGTTCACCAATTAGGAATGTAACCACTTCTAAAAATTGAAAATCCAACATTACAATGCATCACTGGAAATTTCCATGATAAGTAATTCATTCCTGCACTTAGATTCCTTTTCATTAGAATTTTATCAGCATGCATTGACTTAAATGAAAAAGAAAGGGGACCCTAAGTCTTTCAGCTTTGTGTTACTAGTGTTGGATAACTGTATGGCACAACAACAGCACTGATAAAAGTCCTTTCTGGTCCATAAATCCTCTTCTCCTTCCCTCCAGAGCAGCAAGATGAAGAAAATTCTCAGGCTACCACAGTATACTGGCTAAAGAAAGACACAAATACTTGATCTTGTTTAGATAAGTACTCTGATATATTAATTGTTCTAGTATATCCCAAAATCTCATGGCAGTTATTAATGTATTGAGATTGAGTCCAACGGCTACAGATGTGAGGGGCTACTTAGAATAAGGAATTATTTGTAGACATAACAATGGATCAGATGATATATCTTTCAATGGCTCATGAAAAATATCTGGGGCATTTTGTCTCTTGCTTGCTCCTTTTCACACTTTGAAAAAAGCTAGACTGAATAAAGGTTAAACAGCACACCACATATATCAGACCATTATTTTTAGAAAATGTGAGTAGCCACAGTCTGAAGCACTRTGGAGCAAGGAACACATCTAAGTCTGTAGAAATATGTGAAAATCACGTTGGACAAATCTGTGAAACYCCCCTGAGGTCATTTCTAGGTGACAGTTGGATTTTTCTCACCTCAATCTCAAAATCTTAAACCAAATAATAATAAAAAACCTTAGCAGATGTCTATGAGGCTGCTTGGATGAGATTACAGTCAGTGAAGCAAAAACAGCCATGTGGGGTTCATTTCTCTGCAGTAAATAAAGATGAATGCACACAGCTATAGCAGAGTCTTTAACCCCACCTATGAGTACTATATTTATCATAAAACACTTCTGTATTTCTAGCACAATTTTCCACTTTGGCAATCTTCCTGTACTTCAAAAAAGCTTACTATATAAGTACCATGAAATAATTTYGTTTGTAAATGGATCTCCACGTCATTCCAAAACAGATCTGTGTTATGCTGCAGGTCAGCAGCATTCAAGAGAAGATGAATCACTGAAAAAAATGTGTAAGGAAAAAAAAAGTGGAAAACATAAACTTTGGTGCAACAGACACTACAGGCATTCTCCTGCTTCATAAACAATCACAGAAATTAAGCAGAAATACTGTCCGTGAGAAACAGTCAAACCATTTTGGCTCGATCCTTGTAGCAGAATGAAATTTTGATGCYTAAATAAGCCAAATTATACATCCATCATGTAGCTTCCTCATAGAATTCCATGTAGGAGAATATAGTCTTCTAATTCATACAAAGCTGGTGTCACTTCTGGCTTTCCTGTCCATCACTCACATTCCTGTGTCCATCACACAGTCTTATTCAAAACTATTGAAAAAATGGCCAGTTTATGACACTTTAAGTGCATGGTTTTCTTACCATGAAWATACTTCCAGGTACTTTCTAACTGAATATGTAATTAAATCCATTAGAAAGATGCTACTATTTCTATAAAATCTAYGTCTAGAAAACAGACAAAATTGCCACAGTTCTGCGGTCTAGAACTCAGAGTTTGAAGGGAAGTAGACCAGCAAATCCTGCTTTTCAATGAGCAATATGCTATTATTGAGTAATAGAAACAGTGACCTATCAGTTGCAGGCAACTTGTGAATAACAACGTAGACACCAAATATTTAGACCAGGGTAGGCATTTGAAATGGATATCAAGATCTTACCAGAGAAAAGCAAAAGTGCTAAGAAAAGTACTAAGAAAGTACTATCAGTSATACAACTTTGCAGTCAAGAATCCATCTTCAATGCACTCTTAGGAACAAAAAAAAAGTACATCCCTACTTTTTTCTTCCTAAGGGATGAAAATAAATCTTTACAGAGATTGTGCTAAAAACCYCAGTATATATAAATACAGTATTATCAGAAAATGAACATATT